CTTCTCTTCAGAAGTAAGGGAGAAGTTAGCAAGTGCTCAAGATAAATGTTTCCTGAACTGAAACATTTTATAGTCTTTGGAAAACACAAAAAAGAAGGTGGAGAAACACCCATAGTTCCACCATCCTTCTTTCACTTTTCTGTACATGTTTATCTTTATTTTGGCCCATAGTTGCAAACGTGCTGTAAGGGATTTCAAGATTTTGCATCTTTCATTGAAAGACAAGGTCTTCCTTCATATGATAATTTTTAATGGCTGCAGAATATTCCATCAAGGGAATGTTTTCTTCACAGCTCCTCCCCATTTTTTCCAACTTGAGGGTTTTATTCCAGTCTCTGATGCTGTTCCAAGCATGCCTGGGATTAAAATTCTTTCCTTATTTGATGTGACTTGGAGAAATGAATTCCTAAACATAGATTTTTGGAAACCAGTGAGCCAGTATTGGGGGGAAGTTTGGGAGACAAAGGCTCTCCGTGTCCTAGTGCTGAAACCATGCCAGAGGTTGTGTATTTCATCCTTGCTTAAGGACACCTGACCCTGTGGGTATTTTTGAACTTCAACTTCTGGGCTGAGGGTTTCTTCCATCTGCTAAAGGTGCCTGCCCGCCCACACCACCTACTAGCCAGAAGTCAAGAGATCTGACCTTCAGATCTGATCTTCAACCCGACAATAGTGAACTATGGACCTTGGATACATCACTTCTGTGGGCCTTTCTCTGTCATTTCAAGGGGGGATTACCTCTCCACCCTGCCCCTGGAGAAGATCTGATGAGGGAGAGTCCAGTCTCAGTCAAGTTCTATGCCTATTCACTGTGGGCCCGCACTGTCCTGGGAAGCTCTCTGGGCTCAGTTTTACCATCTCTTATGTAAAAGCCTGGAATAGTAGGATCGCCAGGCAGGTAGAAGTGAGCTCAAGGGTGCCCACTTGCATTATTTACTCTGCTGTATTAAGCACCACTAAGACACAGAGATCTCAGTACCCAGTACAAACTCAAGAAAATATGACTACACTACCAATAACTATTAACAACTTCTATGTGAGCAGTGAAACGTTGTTCTCCAAATTTAAAGATCTACCTTTGAATAGATCCACCTTCTAAGGCTGAATCTCACCAGCCTTAGAAATCAAATTGCCAACAATTTCTGGATCATAGAAAAAGCAAGGGAATTTTAGAAAAACATCTACTTCTGTTTCATTGACTATGCTAAAGACTTCCACTGTGTGGATCACAATAAACTGTAGAAAATTTTTAAAGAGATGGGAATACCAGACAACCTAAGCTGCCTCCTGAGAAACCTGTATGCAGGTCAAGAAGCAACAGTTAGAATCAGACATGGAACAATGGACTGGTTCAAAATTGAGAAAGGAGTTTCTCAAGGCTGTATATTGTCACCCTGCTTATTTAACTTATATGCAGAGTACATCATGTGAAATGCCAGGCTGGATGAATCACAAGCTGGAATCAAGATTGCCAGGAGAAATATCAACAACCTCAGATATGCAAATAATACCACTCTAATGACAGAGAGTGAATAGGAACTATAGAGCCTCTTGATAAGGGTGAAACAGGAGAGTGAAAAAACTGGCTTAAAACTCAACATTCAAAAAACTAAGATCATGGCATCTGGTCCCATCACTTCATGACAAATAGAAAGGGAAAAAGTAGAAACAGTGACCATCTTTATTTTCTTGGGTCCCCAAATCACTGTTGATGGTGACTGCAGCCATGAAATTAAAGACGCTTGCTCCTTGGAAGGGAAACTATGACAAACCTAAACAGCATATTAGAAAGCAGAGACATCACTTTGCCGACAAGGGTCTGTATAGTCAATGCTATGGTTTTTTCCAGTAGTCATGCATGGATGTAAGAGTTGGACCATAAGGAAAGCTGAGCGCCAAAGAATTGCTGTTTTTGAATTGTGGTGCTGGAGAAGACTCTTGAAAGTCCCTTGGGCTTCAAACAGATCAACCCAGTCAATCCTAAAGGAAATCAACCCTGAACATTCCTTGGAAGGACTGATGCTAAAGCTGAAGCTCCAATGTTTTGGGCATTTGATGCAAAGAGCAGACTCATTGAAAAAGACCCTGATGCTGGGTAAGATTGAGGGCAAAAGGATAGGGGGGCGACAGAGGATGAGATGGCTGTATAGCATCATCGACCAATGGACATGAGTTTGAGCAAACTCTGGGAGATAGTGAAGGATAGGGGAGCCTAGCATGCTGCAGTCCATGGGGTCAAAAAGAGTCAGACATGACTTAGCACCTGAACAACAACTACAACTTACCCCATCGTCATTCACTCATGATTTATTGAACACCTTCTGGGTTTGGGCCCTGCCAACTTCCTGACCTCATCTCCTCCCACTCCTTGCTGTTCCTGAACTGGCCCAAGCTCATTTTTGCCTCAGAGTCTTTGAACTTGTGAAGCCTCTGCCTGGAGCTCTCTTTCTCTGGCTTCTCCCATGGCTGGCTCCATCTCATCACTCAAGTCTCTGCTTAGATGTCACCTCTTCCAGGAGACCCTTGCTGGCCACCCTGTCTAGGAACCAGCACCCTCCACTGCTCACCCAATTTTATGTCCCTTGAATGTCACCTCCAAGGAGACCAGGAACTGGGACTGTTGAGGTTACCACCTATTAGGTAGAACCCCACAAACACGTGTTAGATAAATCTTGGGTGCTCCAGGCACAACTGTACTTACAGAATACACACAGAATGAGCACCCACTATATGTAAGTGCTCATCAGCAGGCTTACATACCCACTATATGCAAGCCCATTTTATAAGATGGGAAACTGAGGCACAGAGAAGTTGAATAACTTGCTTAAGATCTCATGGTTAGTAAGTAGAGGAACTGGGATATCCTACTGCATGTTGCAAGAGTATGCTGAGCCAAACACAGGACAGAGTCACACAGCTCAGGGGCCAATGGGCAAGCTGGCCTTTGTAGGAAGTCAGGGACACTTCCCAGAAGAAGTGATGCCTCAGCTATGCCAATGCAGGGTTCCTCTGAACAGAAGAACCAGAGCAGAGGCCAAGGAGAGACCAGTAAGTCTGCAAGACAAGAAGTCAGCTTATGTGGCTGGAGTAGGGAATACTGAGTGCATCATGAGTTCGGGGGTGTGGTTACCTCAACTCTCTGTGACTGAGGTTAAAAAAAGTCCCAGAGGGTAAAATGTGGGACAATATCTCTGAGAAGATGGGCAGGACCCTCCATATCATTCAGGACCTTGGCAAGACTAGGGGTCCAAATTTTATTCTAAGATTTCTAAGCAACACCTCACAATTTGCATGAGGTCCCAAAGGACCACAGGAGTCTCCGGAAATTTCTGCTGACTCCCTGTGGGACGCTGGGCACCTCTGCAGCCTCTCTTAGTCTTCAAGGGTCTCAGTCTCCCAACTGATATTAGATGACCCAGTCCCAAAAGCACAACCCCACTCCATCAGTCTAGCATCCCATAAACAGAATGCTGTTAACCAATGAGATCTTGACATTCCTAGAGTCTGATTCCGGGACTCTTGTGCTCTGGCCATCACATACTTGCTAAGGCCGACCCACCACCATGGCACTTTGCCAAGCAGCCTCTCTGGGCAGGGGGTTGCATTCTCCTGCTCCTTGGTCCTACCCAGATATGGGAGCTCCCCTAGGTTTTGGCTGGATTGGGGGGGGGGGCAGGTTTCTGCTGAGATCCTCCTGGAGACAAAGGAGCTGACCTGCAAAGAGTTCCAGCGGGAGCCCCGCTCCCCCTCCCTTCCCCCCTCTCCCTTCCCAGTCCACGTGTCTCTATTGTCTGCTCCCCGCTTCAGGGAAAGACACAGCCTCGGATGTGTCAAAACCACCACCCCCCGGCAGCAGGGAAATTAATTACTGGACGATTTTCACTTCCTCTTGCAGCGCCCGCCTGAGCTAGGCACCAGAACAGGACTGGCTGAGCTAGGCTGGGCATCAGCATGGGGGACTTGCTCCCCTCATCAGTTCTGGAAGAAGAAAGTTGAACCCCAAACCCAACAGGAAGCTTCAGTGGGAGGCCAAGCTGGGGAGGGGGGATGACTTCCCCTAGTTAAAGCTGAGTGTCCAAACGGGCCCCTTCAAAACTAGGGGACGGGGAGGAGGCTGGAGGCAGGGGGGCGTCTGCCGCTGGCGAGCTCACACTCTTCTCTGCATTCCCTTCCTTGTGTCCCCATGTGCCTGAACCCCGCCTGCTCAGACTGTTCTACCTCCTCTCCTCTCTCCTCCTGTCTTGCATTTCTCTTCCCCTTTCTTTGCATCCCTGGGGTGCTTTCTTTTTGTGTATCTGGAGATCTCTTTTTCTCCCGTGGGTGTGTGTTGTTACTTCTCTCCGTCTCTGCCTTTCTCTCTCTCTCTCGCTCTCTGTCGTGTCTTTTTGTCCTTATCTTGGTCTCTGCTCCTATTTCTATCTCTTTCACTGTGTATGTATCTCTCTTTTTCTGTATGTCTCTTTCTGTCTGTCTCTGTGTATCTCATCTCCGCGCTCTCTCTCCTCCTTGTCCCCCCCCCCGCCCCCCTTTCTCCGTCTCTCTCTATCTCTGCTTTTCTCGCCCTCACTTTCTCCCCTCCTGCCTGCCCGGGCTCCCTGCGCCTGGCCTGCCCCCACCGCCGCCGGTTCAGGGGAACGTGTGCGGAGCGATTGTCCTGGGGGACATTTGATGGATTAGAGCGCTGAACAGTTCCATTGCTGGGGACCACCTGATCTCCTCCAGCCTGCGTCCCATATAAAGCCGGCAGCCGGAGTGCTGAGCACAGCTCCAGCGATCGCCTGTCTGAGAGCCGCCGCCGCCGCCGCCAAGCCCGAGCGGGAGCCAGAGCTACAGCCGGGGCCGCCGCCACCGGTGCCGGCTCCGCGCTGCCGCCCGCCCGCCCGCTGGGAGCTGTCCAGTGCTGAAACCCCGCGCAGACAGCCAATCGCGCCCGGCTGGCCTCCTCCCCCCGACCAGGGCCCCTCGCAAGTGCCCCCGCCGAGTCCCACGCCAGTCGCACCATGCCCCGCTCCTTCCTGGTAAAGAAGATCAAAGGCGACGGCTTCCAGTGCAGCGGGGTGCCGGCCCCCACCTATCACCCCTTGGAGACCGCCTACGTACTGCCTGGAGCCCGGGGGCCTTCCGGGGACAACGGTGAGTGGGACCCGGCGGGGGGGAAGAAGAGGGGAGGGGAGTTCGGGCCCTCCCCAACTCGGGCCACGAGGAGGGGTGCGCGCGGCAGGGAACCCCGGGAGGAGATCTCCCTGGCTGTGGGCGCCTCCCGGGCTTCCCGAGGGCCGGGCAGGCGGGGCAAGGGCCAGGTTCGTACAATGGGAAAGTCGCAGGGTCGGCCCATCCCGCCGCTGAGTGAGCGTCAGCCTGGACTTTGAAAGTTGTGGCCCTAGGTTGGTACTGGAGTGAGGGATGGTGAGAGAGAGTGGTGTCCATTAAGGGTTAGTGCTGGGGGGCTAATGCACAAGGCGTTCTAAGGGTCCCCTCCTCCTGGTTGAGGGAAAGAGGCTGGTTGTTCGAGAGTGCTCTCTTGATGGGGAAGGTAAACTGGCCTGGACCACCAGTCCCTGGGGAGAGAGGGTTGGCTCCCTAGGGGTAGCTGGGGGCACCCTCTTTCCCTTCGAGCCTGCTCCCCCTGGTGATGCCAGACAAGTCTTCTCAGCCCCCTCTCTCAGCAACTCTTTTGTTACCCTCAGCCACATGCCTGCCAAAGGCTGGGCCTGTCCTGGGGACTGAGAGGAAGAGGGAATTTCTAGGAGCGGTTCCCCCAAGGTGGCTCTTGGTCTCCTGGGTCGCACCCCCTTCCCCCCTCCAGTTTCTCACTCCCCTCTAGAGCCAGCCCTGCTGTTTCTTGTCAGTCCCCCACCCCCAACACACTCTATTTCTATTCAGAGCAAGTTCCTATAGTGACAAGGGTTTGGGGGACAAGAGAGGTCATTCAGGCCCAAAAAGGGGTGATCTCTGGAGGTTGTGGGGAAAAATCAGAGACTGGTTCTGTGGACCCCATCCCCCATCAAGGGGATCACAAAAGGGTTCTCCTCTGATGGTCCCCACCAGGACAGGTGTCTGAAGAGAAGGCATCCCTTTGGCAGTAAGAAATCTGACATCACATGTGGCATCAGCTTTGGGGTGTGCGTGTGTGTTGTATGTGTGTGCGTGTGTATGTGTGTGTGTAAGTGGGAAGGAAAGAGGAGAGAGAAAAAGGAGAAAAGAAAGGGCTGAAGATGAGGAGGTAACTGAGATGGCAAAGACAGGAGGGTGGGAGCTTCTGCCTCAGGGATTTCCAAGCACTTCGCCCACATTCCATCACTCTGCCAAGCCAGGTAGCAAGAGGGCGCTGGGTAAAATGCTCTGTGACCTCATCAAGGTCAAAGAAATTAGGGAGCAAACAGGGATACAGCTCCAGCCCCTCACCCCCTGACCTCTCCCAGATCCCCAAGAGAACCAACCCCCTTTTCTTTGCCCCACGTTTCTTATTCTACTGTCCTCTTTCTTGACCCCAGGGGCTCTTGGGGTTGAGAACTGAATCCCAGGGTTATGGCTGGGCTTATCTGAGTGCTGGCAGGACAGAGGGTGGACCTGGGGCCATGCCAGTGCCGGGGACCTCGGTAGAAATGGAAATGCCTGCAAGCCTAAGATGTCGATCCCTTGGAGGACGGACACAAAGCCCTGGGTTCCTGCCCACTGAGGGCCCCTTGGTCCTGTCCCAGGCCAGCTGAGGAAACCCAGAGAAGCCCAGAGAATTTCTTATGCACAGCCAAAACTGCAGACTGTTCCTCGGGAGGGAGGCAGGAATGCCTTGCCTTGAATTCAGTCCAAAAAAGCTTTGAAAAGAGCCTCTGAGCAAATAGTGGGAAGCGAGGTAAGGGCCAAGCCATCAGCAGGGATGTTCTACCAGTTTTAACCCCCTAGAACCACCCTGTCCTTGGCCCTTACCCTAAAGGGCTCCAGACCAGCTCCTTCTGGGGAATTGTGAGGTTGTCCTGACAGTCTGATATCTGGCCTGGAACTCTGGGAGGCCTGGGCTGTAGGTCTCTGACTTGCTATGTGACCTTGGGCAAGTGCCTTTCCTTCTCTGATCCTCCATCTCCTCAACAGTGAAAGAATTTGGATGGCATGATCTAAGCATCCTTCCAACTTTGACAAGCTCAGTTTCTGTGAAGGTCAAGTGTGGGGTGGGAGGCATTGGAGATGACGATAAGGGTCTAACAGAATGCAGGGGGCCATTGTCAGGGTTTCTATAGGGCTCCATTTACCATCTGATGTCTGGCTGAGGGTGGCAGAGTTTCTGAGGCCAAGCACTTTTCTTGGCTTCAGTCTCTGCAGGCAGCCCAGGGCAGAGGACAGGTACTCTGCCCTGGCTGCCCTGGCAGCGTCTGCAGTAAATGGTTAGTGCCAGAGACCAAGGGTGACCCTTCAAGCCTGAGTATGGCTGGGAAACACAGAGTCTGCCTTATTCTGTGACAGGACCGCGGAGGCGGGGGGGGGGGGGGGCTCTTCCATCCCTGGGGTGTGGCCAGACTGGGAAATGAAGGCTCCTGCATCCCCCGGGTGGGTAGGGGTGCTGGGGGTCCTCGGAGAGCCTGCCGGCATCTAGTGGTCCGTTGTCTCCGCTCTGCCGGAAATAACCTTGCTGAGCGTTTGAGGGAAGTGTGAAAAATTGCTGAGCCGACGTTTTTCTCTCCCAGCGTGTGTAAGTGTGCTGGGTAAACAAGGAGAAAGAGAGGAGGGGGGGAGGTGAGGAGAGTGAGGGAGAGGAGGAGGGGGGAAGGAGAAAGGAGGGAGGGAAAGGGGGAGAGCCTGGGGCTGGAGATAGTTCCAGTTATTAGAAAGATCCTCTTACAAGCCATTCCTGCAGCAACAACGGCTGCAGGGTCAGGGAGACCAATGGGAGGGGAATCTGGGATGGGGGTGGTGGGCAGGGAGGGAGCCTGTGAATGTGCAGGTCAGGGGAACCACAGGCTCCTGACTGATGAAGATGCAAGACCCCAAATTAAAGAGTACCCCCAGCCCAGGGAAAGCTTGGGAGTGCTGGAGAATTCCTGGAGGACTCCTCCTCCTCCACACACACACACACACACACACACACACACAACAGCAGCCTCTGTGGGCCCGGCAGAGGGTGTGGCAGGTACATCTGGGCTCCAGGCTCCCCCTGAATGCACCTAAATAGGGAAGAAGCCCCACAATGGGGCAAGTTCTAGGTTTCTCTGCAGCACTCCGCAAAGAAGGGAGAGCAGATCTAATTTCACCATCCTCTCCAACGTAATGCCTCTTTTCTCCCCCTCTTGCTTCTCCACTGCTTTCTGCCTCCGTGTAGCCCTCCCTTCCCCTCCTTTCCCCTGGGTGATTCTGAGCACAGATTCAGTCCCTCAATGAGATGGCAATTCACATCCTCCCAACCCTCTCAGAACCTCATCCTCCAACTCCATCAAACTTCCCCCTTCCCAGGCCTGGGCTCCATCCTGGGGAATGCTAGGGACTCCTCCATCTGAGAGAAGGAAGCTGCCCACCCAGCTGCACACCAGTGGTCTCCATGGACCCACAGACATCTTCACTGCCCCGGAGTATCGACCTCTCCACACACCCTAACTCTGAACTCCAGCTGGATGCCAGGTCCTCCATCCTCTTAACCCCCACCACGTCCTGCCCTCATACTCCTTCAGAGTGCAGCCGACTCAGGCAGATGAGGGATCAATGCCAATCCAATAACGCAGTTGTCTGCCCTCCGCAGCTACATTAAGCCTCCCCAGCAGCTGAGGAAGCGCTCCTACTTCTGCCCATGGGCTTCTCCAGTTGACCACATTATACCAGCACCCGCCTCCGCTCACTCCTTCTGATGGCGCCAAGGAGTCGCCCCAGTCCGGGCCTGGGAATCTGCTCAAAGTCCCCAATTGCCACACGTCTACCCCACACTTTAGAAAGTCTAGTTGGGGTGCAGGGATGCAAAAGGGTATCCCCAGTCCCTTGGCAGAGGAAGCTCAGAGAGGGCCGTGGAGGTGTCAAAGGACACACAGCAGGCCCGCCTGAGTGTTCTTTAACCACCTCTGCCCCTGGCATCTTGGTCTTGGTCCAGGTCCAAGGTCAAGCTTAGAGACATGGCAGAGGTTCAGGTTCAAAATCCATGTCCAACCTTCATTCTAGGACAAGGTCTGAAGTCTAGTTCCAAGGTCAATGTCCCAGGTTACAGGCTCACTTCAAAATTCAAAACAAATCCATGTCCAAGTTCAAGTTTCAATCCATGTTCAAGTCAACATTCATGCTCCAGGATCCGGATCTGGATCCAGATCCAATTTCTAGTCCAAGGTCGTGTCCAGGTCCATTCTCAAGGCTGGCCAGTCCAAGTCTTAGAGCCAGTTTCCTCTGAAGCTCTGAACTAATCTTCCCCTACCCAAACCTCAGTTTCCCTCTTACAAAAAAAAGCAGTCGAACTTGATCTCTTTCAGCTCTGGCCTTCCAGGGACCCAAAACTCTATTTTTTAAAAAATCTGTCAGCAGGAATGTGCAATAAAAGGGATGGGATACTGAATATGGGATACTGAATCTGGGGTCCATGCCCCCCTTAAGCCTGGGGTCACAAGGGGGACATGAAGGAACCAGGCTGAATGTCCACTCTTCAGACAGTCTCAGATTTTGGCTCCTGATAGAGGTCAGGAGAGTATATCAAGTCCCTACGGCAGCATAGCAATTTATACATCCCAAACACACACGCATACACACACAGAGTGGGCTCAGGGCAGCAAGCGCAGAGCGCAGGCGAAGGTCAGCTTCAGCCTCCAGAGCAAAGCTGAGGTTGGAGAGGTGGCTTGCCTGAGATGACAAGGGCATAGGCGGTGCATGTATCACCCCTCCCAGTGGGTGCTCCATACACGTTCCCGGGGACCCCCCCCCCAGCCTAGAGGCGCTCTCGGGGCGGGGGGGCGGGGGCGGCTATGAGATGCTGCTGGGAGAGATGAGGCCCCGGGACTCTTGGCTTCCTTCCAGCTGTGGTCTCCCCTGGGATGGAGTAGCTGCCGCCAGCCTTTGGCTAAGAAGGGAGGTTGGCATGGGCCCTCTGCCTCTTCTGGAGCACAGAGAGGGTAGGGAAGGAAGCAGGGGGCCCAGAGAGACAATGTACATTATACAAGACACCAGGTCTCCAG